TTTTTTTTTTTTTTTTTTTTTTTTTCATTTGGAAGGTTATCTTGTTAGTCGGCTCACTCTTGTAGCAGTGAAGTTCTTCTGGTGTTCCTGCTCCCGACCTTCTTCTTGCTTCTCAAGGAATGGCCGTTCCTTTCGTTAATCTTGCTCCGAATCTCACAGTTTCAAGGCTCTGCTTCGGTTCATTCCAATATATATCTTGCTTCTTATCTTGCAATTCTCTGGTTCCCTATGACCTAATTCTTCATCTCTGATTTTCACAGGTACCATGACGTTCGGCGAGCAGAACTCAATGTCTCAGTCATTTCGCCTCCTCGACCAAGCTTTCGATGCCGGAATTAACTTCTTCGATTCTGCAGAAATGTATTTTTCTACACTCTATGGCGCCGCCTACATTTGTCATCACTACAGAAGTCCACTTCCTGAGTTTTATGTTTGTTCCTTCTCTAAATATACCTTACGTGCAGGTACCCTGTGCCTCAATGTTCTGAGACTCAAGGTCGCAGCGAGGAGTACCTTGGACATTGGATCAGAAGCCGAAAAATTACTCGGGATCGTATTGTTTTAGCCACGAAGGTTTGTTTGCTCGTATGTGTGCGTTCCGTAACGCTCGCTATATTTCTGCAATTTGGCCACCGACTACTTTGGCTCGCTATATTCATTATTAATTTTTGTTATTGTCGTTGTTGCTGTCTTTGCGATTGGCAGCAATTCCACCATTTCTTGAGATTATTTGTGAATTTAGCTCAGCTTGATTTTTTTTTTTTCTTTTCTTTTCTTTCTAAAGAATAGGTATTTAATAGCGCAAAGAGTTGATAGACAACTAACAAACTGAAGTAAGAATATTAGTTAAATAACTTCATTAGTTATAACAGTGTAAGCTCTATTACACCCCCTCAAGTACATGACGGGAGAGAAGACATCACCTGATTGTTTTCCCTCTTTGTTAGGTTGCGTTGGTTTTAGGAATGGCCAACATAATTTTGAATTTCTTACTTAAAATTGAGTGTTTCTTGGAACTTTCATGCTGAGATAAATTCTGAAATTATCATGCAGGTTGCTGGACCATCTGGGCAAATGACTTGGATACGAGGCGGTCCAAAGTGTTTGGATACTAAAAATATTACAGAAGCAATTGATGCTAGGTCAGTAGTGTGAAATCTCTTATTTTCGCGGATAGATTCATAAATATCAGGGATAAATACATTTTTGGTTCTTGAGGTTCCACAAAGAATTTCTTTTGGTTTCTAAGTTTTAAAAACCAAATCTTATAATTTAATCCTGTCAATATTTGTAATATTAAAATGGTGTTCTATCAGATTTTTTGCTACTTGCATACAGAAGTGACATTTCTGATTGATTTTATATTAATTTTGTGGATATACGGCAATATTTACTAAAATTTCTATTTTTATATGTTAACATGACAAAAAAATTTGAAACCCAATCTTTTCATCCTTCCCTCCCGGTTGTCCACAATCGATAAGATATTCATGGCTAGCTATCACGTTGTCTTTATTAATTTCTCCTCTTTCCAAAGGTTCTCCTCTATCTACAAATTCCCCTCATTCAACTATCCTCCCTCGGACGCTCCTCTAGCTTTGAAAGGCTGGCTCACCTGCTACATAGGAGGTAGCAACATTACTCAACTAGTGTGAGGGAATGGGATAGGGAAGGGAAGGGGTAGACTGGTGATGGTGGACGGAGAAAGGAAGAAAGAGAAATTACATTTGAGCTTTCTTTTTTTTTTTTTTTTTTTTGCCACATCAACAATAAAACATATATTTTTTATATAAAAGTATTGCCATATCAACTTAAAAACAATATAAATCAATTAAGAAGTGTCATGTCAACTTTTTTTTATTATTGCAGCCTATGAAAACCAAGGGCAAAGATCATTTTGAAGTATTTTGAAAACTACTGAGGTCAAATTCTAAGGTTTTAAAAATTGAAAATTGAAGATAAGTAGATAACCATATGGGGAAAAAAAAGAGATAAAGGATGTATTTATTCCTAGATATGAATATCTTTGTAAGGCATATTACATGTTATTAAATACTCTTGGAAGGATTTCCAATTGGAGAAGTGTTTTGTAACTCATTTGGAAGGGATTTATTACCTTTGTTGTCACATTTCATATTAATGAAATTGTTTCCTATCAAGAAAAGAAAAGAAAATCTTGGAAGGAAGTATAAACTCTTTTCACTCTAAGTGAGGTGAGGAAAATAAACCATCTTCTCTGATGTGAAATATCTATCTTGTGCAGCTTAAAGCGAATGCAAACAGATTTCATTGATATTTACCAGATTCATTGGCCTGATCGGTTTGTATGTACTAACTTAATCTGTGAGATATTATGAAAGCTAAAATGTTTTGGAATTTTTTCAGTTCGTTATTGCCCTGACACTATTTTTGTATTTTGTTATATTATTTTTTGTTTTAGTTGTGAGAACAACATAATCATTTGTGTATGTTTGTCTTTTAAGGTATGTTCCAATGTTTGGAGAAACTGAATATAATCCATCATGGCAGTATTGTTCTGTTACTATAGAAGAGCAACTTTATGCGCTCAGCAAGGCTGCTGATGCTGGTAAGGTAGGCGATCATATTGCCATGTTCCTCTCTCTCTCTCTCTCTCTCTCTCTCTCTCTCTCTAAGATAGCATGCCGAGTTTTCAATCAAGTTGGAATATCTTGTGTTTTCAGATCAGATACATTGGCCTCAGCAATGAAACACCTTATGGTGTTATGAAATTTGCACATACTGGTGAAAAATATCCTCACTTTCCGAAAGTTGTATCATTGCAGGTGCTTGATCTCAATATTTTGGTTCTGATTCTATTTTGTTGTATTTATTGCTACTAAATGAAATATTTCTACTCTGAAGAACTCGTACAATTTGCTTTGTCGAACTTTTGATTCTGGCCTTGCTGAATGTTGTCATCATGAGAGGTAATAAATCATCCCAAATTTAGTCCATGAATTTTTCTTGTTGTATATAATAAGTCATTGAACTTAGAAAAGGTGTCTCTTTAAGCCTTTAAATTTTCAATTTTTTTGTCTAGTAAGTTGTACAACAAACATCTAATAGATCGATGGTACTTTTATTTTGTTTGATAGGTCTTTTACCTATTTGACTTTTTTTTTAAAAAAAAAAAAAGTTACGAATCTAATAAACACAAATTGAAAATTCAAACCTATTATACAGTTTTATGATTTAGTAGAAACCTACTTTAGACACAAAACTGAAAAGTTAGGAACTTATGGCATCTTTTAAAATCCATAGACACATTAAAACACTATTGAATGTTTGTTATTGTCATTTCACATTTGACCTTTTGCAGAATCAGCTTATTAGCGTACAGTCCCCTGGCAATGGGCATACTTTCTGGGAAGTATTTTTCTCCTGAAGGTGGTCCTGAAGATGCCCGACTTAAGCTTTACAGAGGTCTCTATAAAAGGCTTTCTCATGTCATCTTTTCTTAACTTAAACGGAAAGGGGGTTATTACAAATTGATGAAGATGCTATTTTCATTCCAGGAAGATATTTAGAAGGGGAATCGAGATACAACCTAACCAACAACATCATCAGAACAGCTACAATGGTATGCAAATTTACAACTTTTGCTTATTTTTATTTTTAGTACATGAAAACTGAAAGATAACAGACCGATGAATTGTAAAGCTTTTGCATTTTCTAATATTGAAGAAGGGTAACTTGTAACATGATTGTTCCATTGTTACTATTACTTAAAGTTCATAATAGAATTTGACATGAATGCTTCAAAGTATGTGAACTGTTACACATGATGCTTTCACTAACCTGTTCTCTATCGTGGATTGTCTGTAGGAATATGTTAAGGTTGCTAAGAAATATGGCCTTCATCCAGTCTCCCTGGCAATTGGTTTGTTCTCCCTTTTCTTTCACTCTTTGTATATTGTTTCATTCGAGGTGTGGCATATGATGGTGTAAAGTAGGTTGTAAGCCTTGCATAATTACATGTTTTTGAAATGCAGAACAGACTTAACTAGCTAGCTATCGTTAGTCTGCAGACGATAAAACCTCATATGAAGAAATTGCTGAACTATCTTTCAAGATAGAGCAGAAGAGGAAATCATTGTTCTTGAAGTGTGAACTCAAAACTTATACGGAGTGATAGTAAAAAATAGCTCCAAAGGCTGTAGCGTCTTTATGCATAGGATTGATTATGGTTTTTCGTCTCTTTTGTTGCATTTGGTCAATAGTTTTGCTTGTTTCTTCTTTTTTTTTCCCTGCCATTATCTATGTTTTTAGTTCTCCTAGCAATATCTAATTTTCGGGTTTGGCAGCATTTGTTCTCAGGCATCCCCTCGTAGCAAGTGTTGTGTTTGGAGTTACCAAGTCATGGCAACTCTTGGATATTGTAAATGCAGTTAAGGTTGAGCTCACACCTGAAATCATTTCTGAAATAGACAAAATTCATTCGAGGTTTCCCAATCCATGTCCCTGATTTGGAATTTTCTTCCATGATTCGAGATTTTTGGTTTGTTGTGTAATGTTATTCACTTGTGACCAAAATGGAGCCAAGTGTAAAAGGAGGATAATTGTTGTGAAGAGGGTAAAGTTTGTTCTTTGGAAAATACACCACAGTGCTCTTAGCAGCAATCATGATCTTCACTAGCGCCTTCCATACATGGCTATTGCCCTGAACTGGTGCCTTCTACACTAAATTATTGCAGATTTTTTTATTGGGTCGTGGCTCTCCCTTGTCACTCTAAACTTGCCTTCTCATCCTTCTTCTCAGGCCACCCTTTCAAGATGAAGAAGGCTCTTTTTGGGTTTACTTTTTTTTTTTTTTTTTCTTTGGAATCTTTGGTTTGTTTGAAAGAACCAGAGGATATTTGCTGACAAAAATATTTCCTCTCATAGTCTCACTGCCCTTATATATGTATATATATATATAGTAGGTCAAACTTAGTGTTAAAAAGACCATATATTGAAATTTGAATTTTAAAAAATTATATTCAACATTATATTATATATTTTTTTGGATTATACATTATCTATTACATTTTTCAATAGAAATAAATTATACAATAAAAATTCTTCGAAAGAAATATATTGTTAAAAATGAAGAAAAAAAATCACTACAGGGAATCTCTAACCCGATTCTTGTAAAAATGAGGATTGAAATAGGGAGCGGGAAAGCCAAGGACGGATAAGACTTCTCCATCTATTTATGCATAAATCTATTAAAGTTTAAAGATACTAATTCCTAAAGGGAGTGAAAAAGAAAGAAAAAAAAAATCAAAACATTAAAAAAAAAAAAAACTCTTATCAATATCTTTGCCCGAAAGACTAGGAAAACATGTATGCATAAATGGAAGCTATGAAAATGGAAAGCTACTTCAACCTTCCAAAGAAACTGGAGAACCAACATTCAAGCTTGCCACTAAGAAGAGCATATGGATCAGCATTATTCATCTCCAACAACAAATGACCATATTACTCTTATTCCAATGGTTTAATTAAGATTGGAACAACCACGAACAAAGAACATAACCACAATAAAACCCCCAAATCTTGCATTCTTCATGCTCATCTGAGAAAAATCAAAGATCGACTCTTTGTAGAAACAATATAATTCCAATAAGGAAGGCTTGACATGTGATGATAGCAACACCAAGCTGCCTAAAGTAACCATGGGACGAGCACAAATCATGGAAAAAAAAAAAAAAAAAACTTGAATTTTCAACACCCACTGAATCAAATTCCTCTATCCTGACATGTATAATTCCATATCTGATTTCAAGCTCAGAAGAAGAAAGTTCATGAGTTTTTGATTTGCCATAAGAAATCAGAAAACAAAGTTTCTGCAACAATGGTGAAACACAGAAAATAAGTAAACAGGTAATAATCCATGGCAGTTCCACACCTACTTGCATTATCCTATGTTCAAAGAAACCTTAGAAAGAAAGGAGTATTTTCTAAATTCTGTCTCTAATCAGATCTTAGCAACAAAAACTCCCAACTGCCTCAAAGAACATCCATCTAAAGCTTAACAACCTGAGGAACAAGAATCCCATTTCCTTTTATAACTTCTGCAGAAATTATAGAACATGATACGATAGTCATGAAAGCATAATATATCAAACCTTGCTTTATAGCAATGAGTGGGGCGCCCGGGAATTGTCCCATCTCCAATATCCACGCCCATATGTTTCAGGCTACAGACCTTCTCGGATAACTTGAGGTCCATAAATTGCCCCAAACAAATACATCATTGTCCTACAAAACCGAGTGAAAAAAGGAACTCGACAAGGATCATCGAGCAAATACACAAAATACCCTAAATCAGTCCAGCTGTTTTACTATTTAATAAATCTGTAATTTTCAGCACAGCAACCCATGATGAAACTGGGTAGAAATCCTGATAGGTGAATCTAATCAACGAGATGAAAGCAAGACTCAAGTAGTTGGTCTTACGCCAAGAACATCTTAGGATTACAAATGACAAGAAAATTTACTAACGATAAAGTACAGCATGAGGTCTCCGAGTCAGCCCGCGCTTTTTCGAAGAATCCTGCACCCATGGGCATACGGCCTGGGTAGTCAATACAGCAACTATAACCATGTAAATGTCTTCAGAAACATGCCTTTTTAATGTGCAAAAAGAGTTTCATTACGCCGAGGAGGTCTATCAGGAATACTCCCAGGCTTGAACTTAGACGCCTCATGCCTTGCCAATTCAGGAGGCACAGGACTATTGCTTTGGATAAGCATTTGCTTGAGATCATAAAAGACATCAGTATCCTGTAAAGTCAAGAACGTTGTGGCCACACCCGTTTTCCCTGCACGGCCAGTACGTCCAATACGATGTGTATACATTTCAATGTTACTGGGCATATCATAATTTATGACATGAGCAACATCAGGAATATCAATCCCACGACCAGCAACATCTGTGGCAACGAGAACATTATATCTCTTCGTTCTAAACCCTTCCAGACTAATTTCCCTTTGCTCTTGTGACTTCCCACCATGCAAAGTTGTTACACGATACCCTGCCTTGTCCAAATTTTTTGCAACATTATCAGCATTCTTTTTGGTGTTAACAAAAACAATAGCTGTTTTGTCACCCAGGTTATCAAGCAAATTCTGCAATCTATAAAATTTCTCTGATTCCTTCATCATAATAACATGTTGAGATATTAGGTCAGTTGCCTTTCCAGCAGTTCCAATGTTAACAACAACAGGATTTCTTAGATATTTTCGAGCGAGCCTCTCCACAGCAGGGGGCATGGTAGCACTAAACATATATGTAGTTCGATATATTTTCTTCTCATCAAGCTCCTCATCCTCGTTTTCAGGTTTAAGATTGCTTGAAGGCATTGCATCTAAAACACCCATAACTTGAGGCTCGAATCCCATATCTATCATCCTATCAGCTTCATCCAGAACAACATAATTACATTGATTAAGTACCGCATAACGCCTCTCCAAACAATCCAGCAAACGACCTGGAGTGGCAATGACAACCTCACAACCCTGCCTAATCTTAAATCCTTGCTCCTCAATCGATTGACCTCCAACAATTGAAACCACTTTAATACCCAAATAATGAGAAAACTTCACAGTTTCATCCTCGATCTGCTGAGCAAGTTCACGAGTGGGAGCCATTACTACTGCATAAGGCCCTTCAGCCTCATTCTCTTCGTTTATGGGAGGCAACCTTGTAATATAAGCAAGCATGGGAAGAACAAAGGCAGCAGTCTTACCAGACCCAGTCTCGGCAATCCCAATAACATCACGTTGTTGTAAACCCAACGGAATGGCAGCCATCTGAATGGGGGAAGGCGTCTTATAACCAGCCCTTTCTACTGCCTTAAGAAGTTCCGTCGTCAACTTACTCTCATTCCAACTTCTCATGGGGCGAGGGATCCTGGATCCCTTATAGGATATATTGAAGTCCTCCCTAAAAATTCTCCAATCCCTCTCAGTCATTTCCTCTAGCTTCTTTTCGCTCCAGTGCCGATCGACTCTCATATCAAATGAGTCATACAAATCAGCAGCTTTTTCCTTAAGTTTTTGAGCTGCAGCCTCCTCTGGTTTTTCCTCCACACCATCTTTCTTTCGTATCTCCTCCCTCATCTCCTTCTCATTCTTAGCTGCAAGCTTCTTCTGCTCACGTCTGTCCATGCCAGCACGGAACCCTCTTCCAAACAAAAGTTGGGCCTCGTGAGGATTTTGGTATAGTAAATTCATGTCTCGAGAAGTATCCTCAGTATTTTCCCAATCAAATGAGAAGCGGAATTTCTCACTTGGTTTAATAACACGTTTCTTAGGCTTCTTAGAGCCAAGATATTGTTCTTTAATAGCATCCAACTCTTTATCACGCTCCCGCTCAGCAAGTTTCTCTAAGCGGGTATGCTCTCGAGCTTTGGCCTCTTCTTCACGCTCCTTCTCACGATTCCGTCGCTCCAAATCCCGATCACGATCTCTTTCCCGATCACGAGCCCTATCTCGTTCTCGATCACGATCTCGATCTCTTTCCCGGTCTCTTCCTCGATCACGGTCACGACGATCAGAGTCAGAAGGCTTGTGGTTGTCAACAGAATCATAAGAAGGTTTCTGAGAACTGGAGAGAAGTTGGTCTTGGCGGCGTCTTTGAAGAGAAATTTCTTCTTGGCGTCGTTGAAGAGCAAGTTGCTCGCGTTGAGCTTTAGTCAAGAAGACCGGTTTGTTATCAACAGCAGCAACTAAGGGCTTAGAAGACGAAGAACCAGCCAAGTTCTCAACACCAGCAGGGCGTTTCATCACGTTTAGTCCTGAAAATATAATACAATAGGATTTAACACACATTAAAAGAAATATAAAAAAAAACATTATCATGAGTCTGTAGTATGTAATACAGTTCAAGTTTCAAGTCTTAAAGCAAAATTAAAAACAACAATATTATTTATCCATCAAATGTTGCCATAGTTTAATTTGTAATGTCACCTCTCAGTCTAGATATTTGCCTTAAATGGTGTTGACTCACATCTAGCTATCAAACCTACAATCCACATTGTGAACAGTACAACATGCTACGTGGGGTTGATTAACAAATATGCTCCTGAAGACCAATTTTCCCTTTGTGGAAGGGAAGATTTATACATGGTGTCAATCTATCATACATTTTTTCTACAAATTTCAGTAGCGGTGTAATTTGGTCGGGTTGGATCAGTTTTCCAGTTCAATTCAATCCCTTTCACCCCTAAACTTCAGTATGCTTAACCATCAATTCTCTAATTAAAATGAACAGCCACATACCAAGAATCCACGAACACGTATAAGCAAATAAATTAAGTACATAAGCAAACAAGACAAAGCAGGCAAAACAAGAATGCAATGTTCTACAAGTGGGAGATCAGTTATTAGGGCCCGCTCATTAATCCCTACTGATTTGAAATCCCAAATTACCAAAATTAAAATCCACTAAAAACCGCATTGAAGATCGAATCAATTTAACTGTTAAAACAGAATTTACCGACCGTTTTCGAGTGAGCTGTTTCTCGGATAATCTAGAAGAAAGAAGAGGTTCCCCGCGGCAGAGGGAAACTAACGAACGGTAACGAACTAATCGCCGTAGGTCTTTCGACCGTCTAAGAGAGAGGGCTCGAACTGCAGGTGTGGCCTGTCGTCGGGGCCTACAGTCACTGAGGTCGCGCAGGATGTTCGCCGTCACGTGTAGCTGCGTGGGGCTCAACACAGAGGAGACTCGCCCGTCGCCGTGGGAGAGAACAAGCAGCGACTGAAATGAAATGAAAAGAAAGCGGCGAAAACGGGAGCGAAAGCGTTTGTGATATTGGCAAAATTAATAAATAAATAAATTAAGATTAAATTAAATTTAAAAAAAAAAAAAAAAAAAAAAAAACTTGACGAGCATTTTTAATTTTCTAAAGTTCAATTCAATATAATTTAATTTTACTATTGAAAGAAAATAAAATTTTATACTAAAAATGAAAATGCTCGTCTCTCAAGTTTCTCTCGAAACAACCGAGATCCGATGAAAATTTGCACAAATATCTTAACGAGAGTACTTTCCTCGAGCTCTGATAATGTTTGTTATAAAATAATTATCAAAATTTTCGCTAATAAACTTGAGCAGGTTCGGGATCGAATAATTTATGTTAATCAAAATATGCTCATACCTAGGCAGATATTCGATAATCTGATTGTAGCTTACAAGAGATTCTTCATTATATAAAGATCTCGTCACAATTTGTGGTAAGATGAAAATTATATGGGTTTTAGTAGTAGTGAGTAAACTCGATCAATGAATGACTAATTTCTAGTAATAGAGTATAAAACCAACTGGGTTAGCTAATATCGTCTTAACCAAGTTTTGCTGGTCAGGCCTATTATTTGACGTATTTTGGGATCGCAAGCTCAAACTCTTAACTTCTAAATCTTTTCCTTTAGCCTCGGTTCTCTAGGCAAGGTTGAGAAGATACCCTTCTAACGCATGGGGTCGGACTTTGGCAACTGAAAAGTCAAGGACGAACGTTCCACTGATACCTACAGTCACCAATGGGTGTCAAGAAGAGAATCTACACTCAAATACTCCGTTCTTGATTCTCCTTTAACTGAATTCTCAAACAATACAAATATATGTGTGCGTTATATATAACCTTGTTGAGCTCGAAATAAACGTTGAACACGATAAACTTGGAAATCGAGTAACCGTGTTTTTGTTATGGACCAATACCGAGCAACAAAGGAGTTACCCTCAACAAAGGCTCCAAAGTGTTTGGCAAAAACTTTCTAGCAAAAAGAAAACAAATGGAAGAGGAATTATTAGCACACGTTGATTCAAACCTTATCCTGTTCAAGAACTCATCGTTGATATGATTCCATCCAAACTTGCCCGGATGAGGGCCTCCCTTAGACCAATCAACCCAAGTGATGCTCCTATTATGGTTCCATTCAGGCTGCACCATGTTCACCAAAGTTGGTATGTAATGCTCGTCCATGTAGCATGGTGGGAGGCAATAGTTTTTAAAGATTGGGTAGTACTTCGTGTCCGACACGATGCTAAGTGCGAGTTCTCGATGTACCTCGAACCATTGGGAACCCTTTCGCCAGTTCGTGATGTTTATCATTGGCCACATTTTCGGGTTGTAGCGGCCTCGGCCGAGCTTTCTTGGATCGTCGAATGAGCTGATGAAGCTTAGGTTTGAGGTGATGAGATGGTTATAGACTGTGGTGAAGTTGAACAATGGGATGCATGAGTCTGAGAGAAGAACAAATCTTTGGTTTGATATGTCTAAGAGGGCGTTTGCTAGGAGGCGTCTCTCTGCATCCACCATGCTTGCAGTCCCCCAATACACAGCCTGCAATTAACACTTAATGGCTCAAATTAGCGTAAATAAACTTAATTCATAAAATTTTCATTTATTTGAATTCAACTCAACTCAAATAAGTTTTTTACCGAGTGCAGCTCAACTGGGTTAAACTCAACTCAATTGAGCTGATCACATTCTTTAGATTATTAGGTATTTTAAACACCCGTTAACTTTTATTTGTAAATTTACCACATTAAGCTAGCTCAATTGAAGAAAGATAGTCGTTTTTTACCATTTTCAAGTAAATATTTTTAACATTTTCAAGTACGAGTAGTTTTTTTAGGTTATCGGGTATTTTGAACACCAGTAAATATAACGAGCAACATTATTTATATATTTTTTTGTTTGACCAAGAACGATAGTAATTTCGACCGTTTTCAAGTAAATATTTAAAAAATGGAAGATAAAAAAACATTTAAACCAACCTGACTAGGGATCCTTCGACCATAAAAAACAGAAGTTGGAGGCATTTCATGAACATAAGAAGGATGAGAATGAACATAAATGGAGTAAAATCCATGGTGGCCTTCAAAAAACTTCTCCCAAAGATCCACCAGAGGCAAAGGACCAGCCGTCAAAAACATGAACGCCACCTTTCTTGGAGCTGTCTTGTCACTCACCTCCAACATCCTTGGAACCATGCTACTTCTCCAAAACAGCTCCTCATCACTCATGTTGTGAAGCAAAGACTTGTGTTCTTCAAGGGAGATGACGCTCGAACCCTCGGACGAGCTCCCATTTCTCGGGATCGACAAAACAAGAATCGACGGAGGCGGAGTTGGAGGAGGGGAGAGGACAACAATAGGGGGTGCAAGCAGAGACGACGGAGACGGAGCGGGGAAGGAAGGAGGAGGATTCGGGGTCGTTGGATTTACGAGAGAGAAGGTTTTGACGTAGAAGCACATGATGAGTCCGAGAGAGAACCCGACGAGGAAGAAGAGGAACTGGAAGACGTGTTTGAGGTGAAAATGGAGATTGATGTGGGATTTGAGATCAAACCCCATTTTGAAAGTTGATCAATGTATGGAGCTTTTGGGTTGGATTTGTATATATTTAGATATAATTAAGAGAGCTTTAATCTTGAAGAAGATGAAGCTGATGGAAAAAAGCTTTAATCTTGGCATGTTTTAAGCTATGGAATTAATGATTTTACCAACATGCCAGCTTGTCTTTTGTTTTTGTTTTTTTTTGTTTTTTTTTTTTGTTTTTTTTTTTTTTTTTTTTTTTTTTTTTTTTTTTTTTTTTT